ACTCATCCCTGAGTGGACTGATCAAAACAAGCAAATCCACTCTCATGAACCTCGAAATCTCTGCAGCTATATTGTCGCAAATAACCTCCTCAATCAGCTCCGAATCACCAATACGGAAGGTCGCCATCCTGAATCTGAAAGATAACGAAAACGCATCAAACAATTCATAGTGCAAACCCATACTATGCATACCCACCTACAAGTTCCCCGGTAATCCTGAAATACTCCCTGGCCCATGTATGGATCATGTGGTGTTAGTAGTACGGGCCTATTACTACTTTCTACACCTATCCATAATCGTTTTAAGGATTACTCCAAGACTCCCAAGTCACTTCGCATTACTGATCTAAACTTCTCACATGCATTCACAGGTCTACCTAAAGCATAAAGCTATACTTCCTAGATTCCATCGCTAGGATCCCCTACCCACAAAATCGAATTGCTAGAAATCTACCAAGACCACTAGTTGCCCTGTGCATGCAAGTTATACACAATACAAGACCAAATAGACTATCGAATGAATAACTCAACCCTAAGTCCACAAGGAGCAGGAATAAGACTAAATCAATCATTTTAAGGATATGTAATCCTAATCGTATACAAATCTAAAACATACACCTAGCAATAACATTACCAATCATGACTTCAAGCAGGTTATAACAAACAATTCTCTAGGCTAGAAGGCACCACAGAAGTCAGAAAGTTCTATCATGTAATTCCTAAGCAGATATACAACCTACAATCTTGCACACATAACAACCTATAACACAAATACAAGATCATATTGGTATATTAGGAATTACTTACTTCCCGAGCTTTGGCCGACTGTATTCATCACATCCTCCACTTGGTCTAAAATATTTTAGAAAATCATTTGTTTGAATAAAACATTTTCTTTTCAAAACTCGTTGAGAAAATCTCCCAGTCCTCCGTTTGAGTTCAAACACACCATAAGGTATGCCTGAATCCCTCAAACCAAGGCTCTGATACCGACTTGTAACGTCCCGACAATTACAAAGAAAATTTTTAAATTTAAAATATAATAACCAATTAAAACCTTTGTTTCAAAATCCATCAAGTAACATTCATTTGATTAAAACCATACATTATCAGAAAATTTACGAAGCTGCAGAAACGAAATTCTTCAACGTGTATGTACAGTCCCGCCAAACTCTTCTCACGAACGACCTACAAAATATTTAATCCACAACTGTAAGCGTAAATCGTAGTGATTTCCTTAGTATACTACATATTCCATCATACATATAATGCTTCCACACAAGATCTCGGCTCTAGCGCTGAGCAATCAAATACCCTATCCATATACATATATCATATACAACGAGCCCAACCGTGACTCCATTACCAGGGGTGGAACCCTGGACTCTCATACAGTTGGTGTGATCCAACCACAATCCTTCCTATCTATGCTATGATCCCACCACAATCTTTCCTTTTTGTGTTATGGTCCATCCACAGTCTTTCCTATCAGTGTTGTGATCCAACTATAGTCTTTCCTATCAGTTCATGAAGTCATATGCAATCATGGATCAAATAGATAGTTGAACATATGACCCACCCAAAAGCGAACAATTAGACAATAACATCACACTCAAGCATAAGGCCAAGAGTTCTCAGGTTACCCAACTTAAACCATGTAGAACCCCGAGCTATCACTATCACATAATAATGTAACATAAACACATAACAAAATACTAGTATGTCCATACCTAAATTGGGGGTACGATCTTCCCTTCATAATTGGTGGATCAATTTTCCTATTGTTGCGACCTCCATTCAACATGCTTTCACTCCTGACTGTGTTGTTAATAACCTAAAGAAGGAACACGCCGATATTTCTGTTCTTTTTATGGCCTTTGAATGGGTGATATGGACCTTCAGGAACGGGATTGTATTTAACATCAAAACGAAGAACATCATTGTTCTTGTTAGCGAGGTTAAGGCTCTTGCCTTCCATTGGCTTAAAAATTAGAACTAGGAGATGTTGTATGTTAAATTAGGATAACTAGTGTTTAGATTCAAAGGCTGAATGTCTTAATGTCTTGTAATTTTAGCTTATCGCTAGCTTTATCCGTGGAATGAAAACTTTCTTGTTGTTAAAAAAACTAAATATATATTGGGTGATCAATATACTTTTATTTTTGTACATCTAACACAATATATAAAATTTCAATGCAATTTTTTTAATTTTTTTAATTATATATATATAATAAAGATCCGACATAGTTGTATTTATACTTTCATATGAAAATATGATGTGTATTTAAAAACAACCAATTAAATGGGGATGGAAGTTATAGAACATCTAAGACGATTTTAAACTAGTTAAATTTATACAAAAAAGTTATTGCCGAAGAGGCCGGTTAAGCATTAAGATGTCTTTTAATTAAAGGTAAAAATTAATGAAATGATTTTTATGACAATAATTTTGAGTAATAGCTTAGTATCACAAGACTAACATATGGTATGTTTTCACAAGTTGACCATATATAGTGATGCATGCTATATGGACAATATTGTTGCATGCAAACAAATCATATAAAGTATGCATCAAGATACCGATGTTTAACATGGAATGAAGCACAAGATCCAATTGCGACGATCCGTGTGACATGTTGTTCGACCTTAACTCTTGGATATCAAATCGATTTTAAGTTTGGTTGATTGGACAAAGATCCGCTTAGTTCAGATCATTGCCTCCACGTGGACAGTGCAAGTTACCTGGATTGTTGGAAATCATGGAATGGAGTTGTGTTCAAGCTAAGAAACCTCATAGTGACACCTATGTAATGAAGCTAAATAATTCTAGTTCCTTTGGCTTTCTAGTAGATGTAATTAACAAGCCTCGAATAACTGGGTCTGACCTATATCATCACATGAACACCACCAACTGATAAAAGTCAGTGGTCAATACAATACGTACATTTGGTTTTTAAATGGTATTTTCATTATTATTTTCTCTCCTGCATCTTCTAAAACATGTGAACTGATAATTCACTTGATGATGCAAAAATACAAGATTCATCATGTACACCTGTTTGGCTTCCGTTTTGGTTATCATTCAACATCTCTAATGGTTAGGACGTATGATCCATGAGACATGTGTCGGCCAAGCACTAGAGCCTCATGGCATATGTTAGAACCTTCTGCCTTTGAGCACACTCCTTTGTTGGGACACAGTATAATTAATCATATATATAGTCATGCACGCTTTATATGATCAATGTTTTTGCTTGTGCAAACTGCAACCTTAATGGGACCATAATTCTGTTTGAACTTCAGTTCAGATCTTCTGAGTGTATATTAATGTGACATCTTTTTTGGGAAGATTACTTTGAGATTTTGTTCTGTTCGCCTTTTATAAATTATCATTACTTAATTAATATAATTGGTAGTGACTTCCGAGTTCCGACCATATATAATTCTAATTAATTTCGAGATTAAGTTATTAAACCAATGTACTTTTTAAACGCGTTATACACTATAACATGAAGTAAATTAATTAAACTTTTAAGCATACATTAAACAAGAGTAAATCCAATCATGAAAAGTTATAGCATATTAGTAGTTAACAATTATTATAGAACCACAAGATTTTATTATAACGAACTAGTTAGTGAGCATTAGTAATTAACATGCTCACTAATTATAACTAGCATCGTGATAATAACTTTCTCATAATCAGTTGTACTTTTTGGGAAAGACACACAAAACATAACTTAGAGATTTGAATTCACCATGGACGTATTCATGTATAGATAGTACATGGATTTCACTGATACTCATGTGACTGAACCCATGAGAGAAGAAACCCTAGTACAGCAAATACACATCAGATGTGTAAATTAGGCCTCTCAATTTGGCAAGTGAAAGGGACCTCCATCATCATGCACCGTTAATGCTCATGCCTCAATCTCTGTGCCATATATATATATATATATATATATATATATATATATATATATATATATATATATATATATATATATATATATATATATATATATATATATATATATATATATATACACACATGAGTAAGCTTAAAATAATAGCAGGTGATTATAATTATGCTCTTCGAGTGGGTTACAGCAAGAGGAGTGGATTATTTATTTAATTAATAAAAAACAAAACAAAATGAGCATATTTGAAGCCTATAGATCATCAAGTGGATTTGTGGAGATTGATCCTTATTCCCTTTCCTTTAGCACATTCACCAAGGGGAATGTTTTAGGCCCCTCATATGAGCATATGCTTTAGGTTAAAAAGTAGGGTTCTTGTCAGGTCTTTTTCAAAGTGGAAAAAAGAAAACTGAAAAAAAAATATTTTAAAGGAAACATGGCATGGTAAAAAAAACTGGAGTTCAGTTGAAAAAAGAACCAAACCTCTTCAAGTGTTGTAGTACTGTACAACTATCCATCTTCGTGTATATATTTGGAAACTATTTTGATGTAGAATGAAGTGGTTGGAACTTTCAGATGAAGCAGGTGAAGCGGTTTCAACTTCTCCACATCACCTTGTGATAATGTGTTCTTGCACCTTCATACACACATAGTGGATGGAAACGAACCTACCTCTTTTATTCATTATCATCTTTGGCTTTCTGAAGATGCATGCTAAGTTTACTTTATTGTCTTGAATAATAGACTGAAAAAGTCCTCAACTTTTTGTGCAAGAAAGTACAATATACACTACCAGATGAGTGAAGCTAGAAACAGAAACAATCATACAAATTTGCATCAAGAAATTCAACCAAATTAATACAAATTGTACATCATACATTATTGTTTGTACCCCAAATCCAATTAACCAATGATACACAACAGTTGGTTTCTCTCTTTCGTAGTCTCCTGTCATTACAAGTACAGCTTTATCTTGTATCTCTAGCCCAAAAAAAACTGGGCTTTGATTTCTTTTCTTTATCATCTTCTATTCACTTCAAATCCTTCTGATCATTATGCGTACCAGTACGTAATGTTTCAGGACCCTCGATCTTGATTGAAGATCATGATATGATTGCTAAATATAGATATCACTAAACATGAATATGTTTATAAAGAAAGCGGAGAGACCTACTATTAATTGTATGATCCTATCAAGTTAGTTTCTTAAGAAATCCAAACAAATACCACCGACCATTCGGAGACCAGAAAAATAATCATTTGAAACGGTAGACAGAAAGAAAGAAATTAAATCCCCAAAGATTGTTGTTTGAACACTATATAGATATAAATATATGTAATTTTTTTACCATGAGCCTCCTCCTAACATTCCAGTCCAAAATCCATTGGTATCACCATTCTGATCTCTATTTTGTTCAACACTATGATGCCCATCATGAGTAGTTGTCGTTGCTGAGCTTGTTTTCAGATCTTCAAATGGGAACAAAAGCCTCCCACACTTGAACTATCATGGAGGCTACTTCCATACGTACCACCCCCACCATTGCCTCCCATTCCATCCAATGAAAAACTAAGCGATGGAATCTTGAATTCTGGCATGGGAATCATCAGCTGTCCTGACGATGAGTAAACCGAATTGGGATCAGGAACTGGAATTGGCATGAAGGAATTCATCATACCCCTTGTTGTCATTCCAGTCAAGAGTTCCAGAGCCGAAAGATGAGCTGAAGAAGTGGTGGTGCCTGAAGCGGAAGTGGTGTTCTTGGTCCCATCAAAATTGGGTACTTGAATAAGCTCAGAAATAGTCTTGAAATCATTGGTTGATGGGAAACCAAGATTTAGATCTTGCCCATGCTCATGATGCATCCTAGGGTTTTGAGAAAGTACTGGGGTTGCTGCAGGAGGTACAACCAGATCAGGCAGCTTCTTTGAGATAGAAGAATGAGATGATATAGAAGACGATGATCTCTTGTTCTTCCTTGAGCCACCACCAACAGGAACGTTTCTAAGAGACCCACCTTCTGTCCAGTATCTTCTACAAGTCTTGCAAAAGTATCTAGGCTGCGAGAGGCTGTAATTGTTGTAGTAACAGAACTTGGTGTTTGTAGAATTGCATCTTGGACAGTTTATAGCTGCTTCTTTTTGTGGCCTTGCCCTTCTTTCTAAAGATGAAGAATTCGAAGATGGTTTTGAACATGAGTTCGTGGCGTTTTGTACTACCATTTCTTCCATAGGCTTCATCGCGATCTCCTATTTAAACAAAAACCACACAGAAAAAGTAAGAGATAGTCTTCAAAAAAGAGAAGATAAAGACATAAAGATCCAAAAAACTTTAAGATTTGTAGACAAATGAACAGAACAAGGCAACTGCTTTATGCTTTTCGAAAATCCACAAAAACCGGTCTTCAAGATAACTAATTAAGTTGATCTTTTCCCAAAGACTCAACCCTTCTATTGCAGATATATATAGTCATCTATTAACAGCCTTTTGATTAAAGAAAAAACATGAAGATCGGAAACAATATTTTAAAACGAAGAATAGAAAGTTGAAGATGAAAGACTTGCACTCTAGTTACTGGTGTTCAAAATCGATAATTTAAGAAAATATACGCAAGTAGAACATAGAAGCAAAGCTCTAGTTTGGTTTGATCTAGATATCATGAGTCTTATGAAATGAAAAATTCAACCAAAACCAAATAAACTGCCATTAAGGCTTATTTTTCTTTTCGTTTTGCTTGGTAATTAGGGAAGATCATAAAGAAGGTGAAAAATCAAACTGTGCATGTACCTGTGGCCAGTGAGCCGTATCCATGGCTGCAGGAAGCAAATTGAGAGAGAAAGAAAAAGAGAAAGAGAGAGATGAGCCTTTACTTTCCACTGTTGTTCAAAAAGCATAAAAAGGAATGTTTGAGAGGTTTGTGTGGACGTTCTAAGTGCTTTAATGCGTATATGTATGTAGGTCTTAAGTGTGTGTGTGAGAGAGAGAGGAGCTTTGCATTCAGGCAGAAAAAGGATAATCACAAAAATACCTGGTTTATTTAATTAAATGACTAATTTTTCATAAAATTTGTATAAGGTTATATGATCAAATGCTTGTAGAAAATAACTTTGGACCAATTGAAAAAAAAAAAGAAATGAGTATGATTTTAAGGTTTATATTATTAAAATAGAATAACATATATACTATAAGATAAATATTATTGTAATAGTATTTTAGTCGATCAAGTATATTAACAAAACCAAAATTCTGGATTTTAAAAGATAATTAATTCTTTTAATTTTAATAAAATGGTTCATAAAAATTATTTCAATGGCAAATTTGTCGTAATTTTTAACGGGTTTCAATTTTAGTTATAAATAATAAGGTTTCATTAAAGATATTTTTTTGAAAATCAACATTCTTAAACAATACTACAATGTATATTATCAAGAATAATAATTTGTATGAAAAGAATAGTAATTCTTATTTCATTGACATATTATCTTGAAAAACACATAAAAACATTAAAAATGAGGATATCATTATTTTAAAAATAAGTCTTGAAAATCATATAAAAAGTATTATAAATGAGAACGAGTGAGAATGACATTTTATGAGAATAGCGGTGCGAAAAATAATAACAACAAAAGAGCTGTTTTTGTTACTGCGTTCTTCCAATCCCAGTCGAGTATAAATATGGTCCATTTTAAATTAATATGCTAATGATGCATTATTATGAAATAGATGTGGCTCATTTTAAAAGAATATATTGATGATGCAATCTGAAAAAAAATATGACGATGAATAGTGCTTTCTGTAGATAAATCATAATCCATGACCATGATGTAAAAGTATGCATAACAAAAACAAAATTGTAACTTTCTTTTTTATTTGATGGATATGAAATTGATAAAACCACCAAAATAACGGATCCCTGTCATCACCACTGTTGAGAAGCAAAACTATAGAATCTGCAACCTATTGCATAAATACGTAGAGATCTGGGAAATAAAAGTATGTAACATCCTGTTTTTGGGGCTATAGATTCCGGGCTTTTCGGTAAAAATAAAAATTTTATTTAAATTAAAATAAAATAAACTGAAATGAAATAAATAAATAAAGGAAAGTTAACGATTTAGATTAATAACCATAATAACCCTTGTTACTAAATAATAAATAAAATTTGATAGAGTTTGAGCATTAATTAAAAGCTTTTAAAGTTTAAGGGCTAAAAGTGTCAAGTTAGAAAAACTTGTGTTTTGGCCTGAGAATTTGACTAAATAAGCATCTTGGACCTATTTGTAGATGTTAAGATAAAGAAAGATCATTTTTGGGCTAATATATGTTTTAGGTGAACTTAGGGACCATTTCAGAAAAGGTTTTAGGAAGAGGGGCCAAATCTGACAATCTGACCAAACTTGTAACATCCATAAAATTTCATAAAAATTTAAACTTTTTCAAACTAACCAAAAATCATAATTGTTTACATTGTAGTTTTCAAAACATGTTTAACATCCGAGTTTTCCCAAAATCACAAATCACAACATGAGGAAATGCACGATCAAGCCTTTGCCTTCTCACGATCATCTGAGGTGCCTGAAATATAACCTAAAACTGTAAGCCCAAAGCTTAGTGAGTTCCCCTAAAGTACCAACACAAAAAATAACACATATACAATAACAACATACTATGGGTCCAATCAACCATCATGTTGGAATAACACATGCCCCTCAACCATCAGGCTGGAATACCAACATACTATGGGTCCAATCAACCATCGGGTTGGAATGCCAACATACTATGGGTCCAATCATCCTCGGGATGGAATACCCTATGCCCTCAACCATAGGGTTGGAATGCCCCGACCTGTTGGCTTACGCAGAAAGCAGTGAAGCCTTAGCCACCGACCAAACATGTACACATAATACAGATAAGCATACCATTAACCAACCAGCAACAAATAAACATATCTTATAGATCATTAGGCATAACATCATCCTACTTACCAGGATACCGATCTAACGGATCTCAACAGTACAAAAACATGCATAACATGATATCAATCCAAGGGCCGACATTGGTGCCTTCGACCCGCAAGTACAGTGAGGAAAACTCACCTCACAAGTTGAAATGAACTGATAAGGCCCGACTCCGAATCTCATCTCTCTACTCAATGCCTACATCCACTAAGTGACTAATTCCATCAAAATCCCAAAAATACCCCTCAAAAGTCAAACTTGGTCAAACATGGTCAAACATTGTCAAACATGGTCAAACTCCATAAATCCACTGAGTCAACCCAGTCGAGTCAACCCAACCAAGTCAACCCAACTGAGTTAACTAAAAATTTGTTGTTCCATGCGATTATGCGGGGCGTACTTCGGAGTTACGCTCAACGTACGCAAGCATCGCATTGACTGATTATGGGGAAGCTGACCGAGTATACAGGGCATACTCCCACCTACGCGGGGCGTACCCTAATAGATCTGACTTCTTCATTAAGTGCTTAATGGATTTAGCACTTGAGCTCATACTTCAGATCCAAGTTCCAAAGGCATACTAGAGTCATAAAGTTCCTAACTTTATGACTTCCCACGTCCAAAAAGTCCTTAATGTAAGGTCTTAATCCATTAAGACCTTCTACAAGAAGCATGGAGCCAAACTAGCTACAAGGACTTCGTTTTTATGGCTTAGAACCCTTCCTAGGGTCTAGAAGGACAGCTCAAATTGTCCAACACCAAACATGCATATAAATGGGACTTTAGGACAAGAAGAACACATAAAGCTAGCAAAAATGAGATCCAAGTAAACAAAGCATCAAGGTGAAGACTTTTTACCTTCTGGAGCTTCCCAAGAAGGTGATGATCCAAGTTCCACAAGCTTCCTTCAACTTTGAAGCTCCTTGATGCAACTCCTTCTTCCTTAAGAACACAAAGGACACACTTTTAGCTTAAAATATATTCTTATGGGGTTAGGGTTTGCCAACAACGACTCAAGGGCTTGGAGGCTGGAAAGGTAGGGGAAAAGAGCTATAGAGGTGATTCAATACCCCACAAACCCTAAAAATTAGGGTTTCAATCGGACATGAGTACGCCCAGCGTACATATGTAACATCCGGATTTCCAGATATACTAATTTATGTGATTGTTTTGAGATTCATTGAGTGACTCGACGAGTAGTGAGTCTAACTCGTCGAGTAGGGCCGAGTTGACCACGTGGGATTAGTGGTCTACTCGCCGAGTAGACGCTGAGTGGTGAAACCCTAATTTCCCGGGTTTGGGACCTATTTAAAGGCACTTATAGCCTCACTTTGCGGCTACCTTCCCCTGAGAGAAACCCTAAACGGCCATGGAGCTTAAGGAGAGAGTTTGAGCTTGCATTTGAGTGTTTTGTGCATTACTTTTGAAGTGAAGAGGAGGATTCAAGCAAGGAATGTGAAGGAGACCAGTAGATCTGAGGTTATCTTGTCCAAAAGCTTCTGAGAGAGGTAAAAAGTGCTCACCTTTCTCCTTATGGTGACTAGATTCCATGTCTGTGGTAGTTAGGGCTTTTTACCACCTATTGTTGGGACTTTTGAATGCATAAGGTCCCTTTTTTAGTCTAGACTTCAGATCTGGACCTTGTGAGGTCCAGAGAGTCCCAAAGTTATAAGCTTTACCCAGCTATTCAAGAGTTATAGTGTGCAAGCACCTTATTGGAATGGTTTTGAGCATTTAGAGCACCATATAACATGCATGGACATAAAGATCAGAGCTTTACGTGACTTTTGGACTCTAGGGAGGCTAGATCTAGGGTTTGGCATGACAGATCTGACTTTGGATGTCTGAATGGGAAATCAGATCGAAGAAACTCGCCGAGTCCATAGGCTGACTCGACGAGTCGGCGAGGGTTGGTCCCGATGAGCTTGTTCATGCGTTAACTCGGCGAGTTGGGAATCAACTCGACGAGTTGAGCTGGACTTTTTGAGACTTTTGACGAGTCGCAGGAGTGCACTTGACGAGTCGGGTCAAACATGGACTGTTGACTCGAGTTGACTTCTGTTGGCTTTGGGGTTTTGGTCAACATGAGTAATAGAGACCATGGAGGGGTAAAATGGTCTTTTATCCACTTCAAAGAGTTAGAGAGAGAAAGATTAGCCTTCGGTTACTTGAGTCGTGAAAAGAGTATTAATTAGAGATATTCATCCTTTGTGTTAGGCGGAGGCTAATTCGAGATCCGAGCGCGAGGTTATCTGCTCACCTGCTTGCGAGGTGAGTCTTCTCACTATACTTTACCTAGAGTGGTAACTATGTGTGACTAGAGGGTCTTATGTGCTTGCTTGAGTTATGCATTTTCTGTGTGATATGTATGTTGTATGTTATATTATGTGATACATAGACCGGACCGGAGGGTCCAACGTACTATGAGACCGGAGGGTTCTCAACCACACCAGACCGGAGGGTCCAATGAGCAATGGGACTGGAGGGTCCCACCCTGACCGGACCGGAGGGTCCAACGAGCCGTGGGACTGGAGGGTCCCACTGAGACACATTGACCAGAGGGTCTTGCAGAGCTATAGCCTCGAGTGGCTAATTATTGTGCGTGGTATTTTAGGGAACTCACTAAGCTTCGTGCTTACCGTGTTATGTGTTATGTGTTTCAAGTTTTTCTCAGGATTGCGGGAATGCACCGGCTTGATTGTATATACCAGAGAAATGGTTATGTTTCGAGGATCCTGGATTATTAATCAAACAAACATGGGGTTGCGTTTTGTAAAATAAATAAATAAGATTTTATAAAATGTGTTATGAGAAATATGTGATTTAAAAATGAAAAATATGTTTTGATAATTTACGGTGTTACAAGTTGGTATCAGAGCCTTGATTTGAGGGATTCGGATGCACCTCCGGGTGTGTTTGAACTCAAACTGAGGATTTGAGAAAGATTTTCAAAAGAAATAAATTTTTCCAAAAATGAGAAAGGGTTTAAGAGAAAACGAGTTGGAGCAGTGTGTAC